ATTTAGACGTGAAAATGAAGGATTTAAAAGCATGATATGATACCTTTAAACTTTTAATTTAAAAATTATTAAAACTAAACAGCCTACAGTATTTTTACAGTCTTTATTTTACAGTTAAAATATATGTTTATCAAATAAAGTCTAATGTTACAACTAATCGTGGGTCCCTTTAAGGGCTCGACACACAGGATATGATGTCACTCTCTCTCCATTCCATTCCTGTGGAGCTTCTGCGATGAGGTGACAATCGCTCACCCTCCTCCTGCCAAGCGACCAGTGAAAATCGTGCATGTGAAATTTCATGCTCATGCACGTAGACGTGCACACGCGAGCATGCGACACGGCATATGAATGTTGAAAAATGTTCAGCTTTTGTCGCTGTTGCTTAGCGTACAACCAATCACTGAGGGTTTCATTGACTGACCAATGAGCACAGAGGATGCTACACACTGCAGTTAGCTAACACTCTGTCAAACCGTCCAGTTTTATATGACCCTTCACCAAGTGATTAATAAAAAACAGACAGCTTTATGGGAATTTGTTGTTGCCAGGGTGAAGTTTTTACTCATAAAATCGTATCTTGGTGTGTGTTTGTTTTTCAATATCATTAGCATCGCAAGATTTATTTAGTTTACATGTCCGTAATGCACACCCTCCCCCCTTTTTTATGGCGAACCACCAATAACCTTTACAAAAAGCAGAAGAACCAATCAAATTTCGTGAAGACAAGCGACCCGAGAGCACGATTCCCAACGCTGCCATCGCTCTCGTGTCGGGTTTCACCCTGGTTGTGACGACAGCCGTTAATCGCTGTTGTTTGTCGCTCCCCGTGTGTCGAGCTTTTTACCTGTCTGTGTCAGTAAACATGTACCTGGTGTGTGTGTTCAGTCTGTTGTGTGTCAGTAAACATGTACCTGGTGTGTGTGCTCAGTGTGTGTTTTGTGTTTGCAGGTGAACGAGGGCGTCAGGGAGAAGGAGAACTCTGACCGCCTGGAGTGGATTCAGGCTCATGTTCAGTGTGAGGGGCTCTCAGAGGTACCACTGACACTTTGCCCTAACACTTGTGTTTTTACCACCTTCTCTGCACACTTTAGTTGTTGATACAAATGAAATCTGCTTATTTTCTGCAGCAACTGGTGTTTAACTCGGTCACCAACTGTCTGGGTCCCAGGAAGTTCCTCCACAGCGGGAAGCTGTTCAAAGCGAAGAGCAGCAAAGAGTTGTACGGCTTCCTGTTCAACGACTTCCTGCTGCTCACACAGGCCAGTCTGACCAGTACAAACTGCAGTTTACTGACTTAATGTTGAACAAAAACCTTCTGTTAGCGTGTTGGAGATGACTCTCAGAGGTACAGATAATGTTGATCAGCTGTGGCAGCGTTCAACAACAATCAGGTATAGATGATCACATTCTGAGAGATTCATTATCTACTGCCTTGTAGAATTTATACATAGACAGATAATTACAACCACAAGTCCAATGAAGTTGGGCCATTGTGTAAAACAAACATAGACTTAAATAAAAATATCACCAGACTGAGCCCCACCCATCCTGTCCACTGGTGTCTGTGACATCATGGAGGAGCAGAAACAGACCAAACAGGACAACAGCTCACAGCAAACATAGAAACTAACAGATAAACAGCAGCTGAACTGGATCTGTTTCACACATTATCTGTCATGTTTTTTAAATTAATAATTATGTTAATTTCATTCAACAATCATGTAAATCAGCAGATTTATACCTAAAAAAAAAAAA